TTCCCTTCTATCTATCAAGGAAGAGAAGAAAGTTGAAATAACTGGAGGAGGAGGAGCAGGAGATGTATCTTTAGCCTCCAAACTTTGGTGCCTTCCTATTTGACTCTTGCAACTTACAGTGAATCCGCTAGAGAAGTTGAAACAGTACGTGATCCTGGTATTGTAGTACTGTCCGAGCTTACGTATGTTACAGTGAGGAAGACTCAAATTCATATGGCTATAGCTGGATGGAACTATCCTTCAACACCTATAATGGCGTCAACACATAAACAGTCTTTTAGCTTGCTAATGCCGCTTAAACATATTTTCAACATTTTCAATGATTATCCTATGATTACGTGTGGCAGACAAACTCTCAGATTTGTGAGAGCTAGAAAGAAACGATAACGATTGTTTCATTATCAAGGAAAAAACTGGGAACGACGACGACAGCGAAAATAACTATTGAAAGCATGGAAACTGAAAATCAAAACATATTTACCCGAGTGATGATGTGAAAGAACAACTTTTGAAAGCTATTCAAACTGATAAGCCGATACTTATACCGTTTAGAAAATGGGATCTGAATGAACTGCCTGCAATTACCGCAGATGCGAGAAGAGAAATATGGTCAGTTTAAAACTAGCACCGCAATCGAAAGACCCACTTTTCATTATAGTATGTTTCCAAATCACCGGTAAACGTGACGTCGCAACCTCAGACCCTACCCTGTTTGATCACGTGAATGCTGCTAGTAGTCGAGTATCTTTAAATGGTGATTCTATCCCAACGAACGTATGCAATTGGACTTTGCAAACAATCACTTTACTGAGCTCATTTCAACTATAGCGACTTTTCAAAACTAGCTATACAACTTCTTCTTCTCCTCTGAAGAGATGTCTTTTAGATTATATAACCGCTTTTAAAAATCGCGCTTTGTTGTTATTGACTGTTCCAAACAAGAGGAAACCATGAAATCATCAACTGTTGATGTTAGATTGGATATCGAAGCCGATACTGGCTTTCAACCAACACCAAGGTCCTACTGCATCATTATACATGACTGCTTAATCGAGTACTTCCCCCCTCACCGAAGTTATTAAAACCATCTCGTAAGCACGAAGGACTCTCAGTTCCGCATCAGACATCATGAGGATCGCGTTTGTTGACATTCACAGGCTTTACAGTTGACGGATTATTCGTACCTAAAGAACTATGTATCGAAATTGTTTCAAGAAAGTCATTACATCTTTACACCTCCGCAACCTTTTTCTACATTAAATACTAAAGACAAGAAAACTGTCGCTTACTTGGAGAAGAATTTCCATGGGCTTAAATATTCTTCCGGCGACGTTAAATATTCCAAGTTAAATGAAATAATTAAAAATAAGGTGATATATGCGGCTGACTATGTCTACGTTCGTGGAGAACAGAAAGCAACTTTTACTCAAGAAATGTCACATTTTTGGTGTTTTTCCCAACATTATTGATGTTTGCAAGTATGATGGTACACCGTGTGCTACTGGAAACTTTGTTGCTGATTCCAATCCATGCCACATCCCACCGGACAATTTTCCTTTACCCCAGAGAAATGTTGAACGTCTACGCCACTGGTTTCAAATATCAATTACGTTATGGTAGTTTTTTCTATTTTTCACTAAAATATTAAATACGTATTATTGTAGGTTTATTGAAAATACCTTGATTTGCGAAATAATTGTCAGAATGTCTATACTACTTTTTTCATTTTGAACGGGTATCATCCTGTATAATACTAACCGTACATCGTATACATGGTGTATGAGACAATTCTGACCGACCGATCCGACCCGACAGAGGAGTCCCACACGCTATTTAGGTCCGCCCTTGCTATATACGATTTAACGTATATACCTTCGGTCCATCGATCCGCTATTTTTCGAATGCACCTGTATACACGTTGCCCCCACGTAACACGCCACCACCAGACAGGTGCCGGACAATCGGCAGCCATCTATGCGCGAGATGCCACAAATCCCATCAATGGCAGCTTGTCCATGACACATAGATTCCGTTAGGTTTGTACAGCGCCAAACAAATCGGCGCCATCTATGCGCGAGATGCCCAACCCATCAATGACAGTTGTCCAATGACGTATGACAGATGACGTGTAACGCCATCTATGCGTGAGATGCCCAATGACGCATGACAGGTGTCCAATGACACACAGATTCCGTTTGGTTTGACAGCGCCATCTAGCGGCGGAATCCCCAACTCATGGAATACAGATTCCGTCCAACAACTGTCAATGGCGCGCGAACCGCCAGCGCCTCTGGTGGCGGATTTTGGAAGTTTGAGACCGAATCCCCATAGACCATCTTACTATTGCTAATGAATT